TCATCCACATGGCTGCACTGACAAAGGTTCTACAATCTGAGGTACAGGATCTCAGGATAAATCCTGAGGGCATTTCACTGACCTTATCAGATCAAAAAGCTACAACTCTTATTGCACAGGTCCTGCTTTACCTTGGTGTTATCCATCCAGCAGAAAAGTATGAAGACAAAATATAGGAAGTAACACCATGCTGTTATGGTGAGCTGTGGGGGACTCAGGTCAGTAGTTTCTGACATTGCCAGTTAAACAGAATACCCAATGCTATTATGGTCCTCTGGACTCTTTTATAATATTTTGCTGAGTTTATACACGTATAATATTCAATAACGGAACTTCAAAAAATAGCGTATACAGATGAAAGTCCATTTTGTATCTGTGTATTCAAAGTGGTTATAATAGATATATAGTTGCATTCTCTTAATGAATAGAATGATTTGTTCTAATGGTGTTTGTAAATAGGATCTCAAGTCCGCATCTTGTACAGCAATTAACCACTAAGAAGAATATATGCAGTGTGTTATTTGTTGAAACTGTACTTCTGATTTGATTTGAAACTGTCTCATTGCTGTTTATCAATAAAATTTTGGAGAAAAAGCTGGTTCAATGTAATTGAAAGGGAAATATGACTCCCAAAATCATCCCTGGAGGCAAGTATGATACTGATACTGAAACCGGAGAAAGATCTATACAAAAAAGAGAATTACAGGTCAGTCTCCCTCATGAACATAGATGCAAAAATGCTCAATGAAATCCAAGCAAATAGAATACAGCAAATCCTGAAGGAGATTATACACCACGACCAGGTAAGATTCATTCCAGGGATGCAAGGATGGTTTAACATATGCAAATCTATGAATGTTATACAGTATATCAATACAGCCAAAACTGAAAACCACACGATCATCTCAAGTGATGCAGAAAAGGCTTTTGACAATGTCCAACACTCATTCATGATCAAAACTCTAAGAAAATTGGAATAGATGACCTACACCTCTACCTGATAACAGCCATGTATGACAAACCAATGGCCAACATACTTCTAAATGGATGTAAAATGAAAGATTTTACTCCCAAATCAGGTTTAAGACAAGGATGTCCTGTATCACCACTCCTATTCATTATAGTTTTGGAATCATTAGCTAGAGCCATTAGACAAGAGAGAGAAATGAAAGGAATAAGAGTAGGTAAAGAAGAAGTGAAACTATCATTATTTGCAGATGACATGATACTCTGGTTGGAAGACCTAAGATACTCCACCAAGAAGCTCCTAGAATCAATGAACAAGTTTAGTAGTATAGCGGGTTACCAAGCTAATACCCAAAAATCAATAGCATTACTCTGCACAGATAATAAACAGACTGAGAGAGAAATGATAAAATCATATTTTCTCAATTACATAAAATTGCAATACTTAGGCATCAATCTAATAAATGTGGCAAATTACATTAAAAATACAGTACTCTCCAGAAGATCAGGAAGCACATCAGAGAATGGAGAAATAGCCTTTCCTCATAAATAGGAATCACCAACACAGTAAAAATCGACCCAACAAAATTAGCCATTCTTATCCTTTACTGGGATTTAGTGCAATCTCAATCAAAATCCCTTGGAATTATACAAAACATTTCAAAATACGTTTTGTACCAGAAAAGACTTAGAATAACAACAACAATTCTAGGCAGCACAGGCAAGGCAGAGGACATCACAGTCTGCCAAATGAAATTATACTACTAAACTGTTGTGATAAAATAAGAACAATACTGGCCACAAACCAACCAAACCAACCAAGATACAAACTGTCCTGACAATCTGTGGAACACATTGGAAGCTGCAGAAACAAGACCAGGCACATTCACCCACTTATTCTTTGAAAACAGGACGAAGCAGGTTCACTGGAAGAAAGAGCCTCTTTAATAAATGGAGTTGGCAGAACTGGCTTTTCACACACGTCAAGGACTGACACAGCCCTATGCCTATCCACATGCACTAAATTAAAATCAAATTGGATCAAAAATATAAATATTAAAACAGGAACACTAAATCTTCTGGAAGAGAGAATTGGCAGAGCTCTTGAGGACATAGATGTATGCAATGGTTTCATAAAGAAACCCAACATTTAATAGGAAATAGCACAAGGAATCAATAACTGGACTCTCATCCTATTAAAAGCTTTTGCACAGTAAGAGAAATTACAAATAGACTGTAACAACAAGGCACAGAATGAGAAAGATCCAAACCTCAGACACAGGACTAATAACTAGGACATGTAAAGAATTGAAAAAATCAAACCCTCTAAATCTAAAGACCCAATACAAAATGGGGGCTTGAGATGAGTACCCACTTATCAGAAGAAACATAAAGGACATGAAAAAATACACGAAAAAGAATTCATAGTTGGTCATTCTAGAGATGGAAAGGAAAATAATGCTGAGATGAATCTCATTACAAAGAACGGCTATCTTTCAAAACAATTAAGTAATGACACAAGCTGGAGGGGCTATGGATGGAAAGGAGTCTTTGTACACTACAGGTGGGAGTTAAGAGTCATGCATCCACTGTGGAAATCAGTGTTGAGATTCCTCAAAAACTAGGAAGAGAGGACTGATTCCACTGAGGAATTCCCCTTCTGGGTGTCTTCCCAGAAGGATTAAAAACGTCATATCAGATAAATATATGAACACCCACGTTGATAGCAACATTTTGTCATACCTAAAACTTGGAAACAAGCAAAATGCCCATTAAACAAGAATGGATAAAGAATTGTTGTT